TTCCTTTCGATAAGAGAGTGACTACTAGAGCTTTGAGGGTTGGCATCTGGCCAGATGCAGACCCTCTCCAACAAAACAGTACCAATGTCGGGGTTTTTTTCATGGGACTAGGGCTTGCATCTGTCCTGATGTAAACCCTCCAAACCATAAGGTATGGGTTTGTACAGGTTTGAGGGTCTGCATCTGGCCAGACGCAGACCCTTCCCGCCAGAAAAGTGCCAGTGTTTCAGGGGTTTTTCTCAGGATCAGGGCCTGCATCAGACCTGATGCAAACCTCAAGATATGGGTTCGTACATGGCCTGTATGGGTTTGTGTGGGCTTGGGGGTTTTGCATCTGGCCAGATCCAATCCACCCCTGTTGGGAAAGTCCCCACGCCGCGGGGTTTTTGACCGGATCAGGGCTTGCATCTGCTCTTAATGCAAACCTAACAGTCTGGGTATGTACACCTTTGGTATGGGTTTGTACAGGCTTGTTGGGTTTGTCACCGGAACACGGCTTGCATTGATCATCTGCCTTATGTTAAGTGTTCTGCCTTTGGATCAGCTTCTCCCTTTCAAGACTTTATGTCTGAAATATTGTGAGTGGTACAAGAGACTCGATCTGGAACTGTATACTAACTTCTTTGACATCCAATCTTAGGGATTTGTGCAAGCCAGCCACAAAAAAGATGCAATGGATATGTATTAAGATCAATGTGTGTTAAAGTTCTAATATGTTCTAACCATGATGACTCTCACGTGGTTCTTGTAATCCATCATAAGCTGTTGTATTGGTTGATACTGTGGTTTGAATTTGGACACAACCAAGTCAAAACGTTTTGCAACAATTGAGAGCAGGTGTGAAAAACATAGACTGGGCCTATAATTGAGTCACCGATGTCAGATGAATGCATGTGAATTGTTGTGCTGGGTCATATGTCCAGAGAAGCTATGTTGAAGCTTTGTTGAAAACATATTGAAGCTTTCATGAAATCTTTCTCAATTTTTGATGAATTTTTCATGAAGTAAGTGGTAGGCTCTGGCCTGCCAGAGCCCAGTAGATGGGGGCTGTGATTGGGATAGATCGGATACCCTTGAGCGTCCCGAATCAAACCGTGGTCAATAAAAGTGACCAGTTCACCGCTAGTCGGGATGGGAGTCTTGAACTTCTTGCCCTTCTTCTTTGGGTTGCGGCATTTTTCTTTTTTGGTCACCGTGTTGGCCAAGACAGGTGGAATTGACATCAGCTCAGAGGGATTCGGGGTAGGCATCAACTCGGGTGTACATTTGACGTTTTCGAAGGAGCTAGCGTATTCGAATTTGGACATGACAAAACTCAGAAGCAATGAATTAGTGAGAAGGTATAAGGAATTTTTGTAGCTATACAATTGATCAAAATACAATAATGGATGCAATCTACAGTAATTGTAGAAAGCAAGAAGAATACGATAAATTTGATAAACTTGTTTGATTTGATAAAATTTATAAATTTCATAGATTTGATAGACGAAACTGGGAATGAAGTTATCCTGATGACATGATTGATATCGACTGGGGATAAAGGTGCTTGCGAGACGAGTCGAATGAGTTGGTTGGGGGGGTCCATCACAATCGAGGGGGCGACAAGGCCTACGCAGGACAACAGGTGTCATCCTTGCTTGAGTGAAGAGGTGCTTGTCTTGTCTGAGAAGGGGGAGGATGAGGTGACCAGATGAGAACGGTGAGGCTGTCGAGATTTTATTGGAGTTCCATTGGATAAGGGCCAAACTAAAAGTTGAGTGGTCCCTTTGATGTTGTTTGGTAGATGTGGTACAAACCTAAAGTTACTGATACGACCGGGACATGGGCGGAAGGGTTGGGGTGTTAGGCTTTGATGTGAAGGGTACGGTTGATGGTAGTAGTGGAGTGTGAGGTGGGATGAGGTTTGGGCGGGGTCTTGGCGGCAGGAGGTCGCAGTGGAATGCCGATCAGAACCTTTGGCAAGGGTGTATAGCCAATCGGACAGCTACTCCGTGATGTGTAAATTTCAAGTTTGGTGGTGATCATCTGTAAGATTACACTCTAGGGGTTTACATCCATCTATGAGTGTAAAGGAGATTAAGTGTAAATTTGGACTTTTACACTGTATTTTTTTACACTACATATTGAGTGTGAAAAGTAAGGGTGTAAAATTGTAAGGGTGTAAAATTGTATGTCTTGGTGGTTAACATGAATTTTTACACTCATCCCTTTGCACACAAAATATTTGCACTCTACAAATTTGGCCGGATTGAGTGTAAAAATGTATTTACACACCTGTAACATGGATTTTTACACACATCCAAATTTACACTCAATATTGAGTGTAAATTGTTGAGTGTAAAAATTTAGCGACCCATAAACAACAAAGTCTAGCATGAAAAAATATCAATGTGTTGATGGAGTGAAGGCTCAATTAGGCTGAAGGCAAGGATGAAGAGACCAAAATTCTTACCTTCCGTGGCTTTAGGCCTCTTTTCACCTGCTTTTTAATATTTTGCAAGTACGTATGCAACAGGCCCACCCATCTTAGAAAACCTGTGTACAAATGTCTTTCCAGAAATAATTTGTTCAGTGAATGTATCTTCATCTTCTTTTTTTGGACATATAAGATCCTATTTCTCCTTTGAAGATTACAGATTCTACATTAAATTAAATCCTCCATTTCAATCCAATTGGTTGTCTACCCGATAGTTTTTGCAGAGTTTTGATTGGCCTTGATCAGTTTACATCAATGGTCATAGAATTCTCTAAGACTCTACAAATGTGACAGCCAGCGCGGAATGGCGGCAAACAAAGAACGCACGGTAGTGAAATTCTAAAACACTTCAGCAAGCTTCTTGCATCCATGGAGTGAGATAATCGACTCAACGCCATGGTTACTTTAGACTCTTGAGGTTTTCAGGATCAACCCAGTTGACCAAGGTGGTATTGTTGCTGTTGAGGTTAGTCCTGCTGCTCTAACAAATCCAACGACACACAGGTACCGAATTGAGACCACAGATTATTATGTTGAAGGTCATGTTAAATGTGTTGTCCTTATCTTGAATTTTACAGTAGTGTCTACTGCCACGCCAAAAATTGGTCATTAACTATCCATCCAAGAAATGTATCAAGGTATAGTTTCACGTACTGATGGTGTCACTTTACATTGTGGTGCCTGTCGACTGATAAACTCTGCAGCAACTTCTGATTTGAGCCGGCCCACATCTATTTGACTACAAGTGAATCAAACAGTCAGTCCAGGATCCAACACATCAAAGTCAAGAATTTAGGGGAACAGATACAGGTATCATACCAAAACAGAAATGGTTGATTGAGATTACTGATATCAATGGTATCCATGTCAATTACGTGCACATTTGTGAAACCCAAGAAAGCTAAATTTTGAAGAATCTTGCCCAATCAAAAATAGTTACCAAGAAATTAATTCACCTTCTCAATCTTTTAATACTTCAGTAGGTGATCCATTCTCACTAACTTTTCTATTACCTAAAACAATCACTCGATTGCAATCCATAATCATACTATTGAAAAAAGTAAATTGATCAGATCAAAGGAGCTGTCAAAGAAAGAGACTTGGTCGTTTCCGGCTTACTTGATTTGATGTGAAATCACCACCAATGTACTCTTTCCAAAACACTCTCTGATCACTTCCTGAACCTCCCCATCAGTATGTCCATCAACTGCGCTAGTAGCCTCATCCATCACCACCACTTTTGCTACTCCACTCTCGCCACTTCATTTTCCAACCATAGCTCTTGCTAGACACATTAGTTGACGTTGTCCGTGACTTAGATTAGTACCTCCTTCGTCCACTCAGTCATCCAATCCTCCTGGCTAATAATCACAACAAGTGAAAAAACGTCAGAAGATATTGTGGTAGATGATGTCAGAGTGATTAATGAAGAGAATGATTACTAACCATGGTTTGGACATGTGTTTTAAGCCGAGCAGATTCTAGTACTTGCTATAGCTTTTCATCAGATACAATCCCAGATGGAGCCAAATTCTCACGTAGAGTGCCTTCAAAACACTGAGAGTCTTGTGGTATAATCAACATTCGACTCCTTAGTCCACTTAAACTAAGCGTACTAATATTGACCCCATCAATCGTAATCCGTCCACTAGAGAGATCGATCAACCTAAAGAGTGATAGAGTGATAGTCAATTTCCCTGCACCCGTTCTACCACAAATACCGACTTTCTCACCAGCTTTGGCTGTAAAGCTTACACCCTTCAAAACCAAGTCTAACTCAGGTCTATAACGTGCTTCCACATTTTCAAAGCAAATTTCCCCACGACTAGGCCATTCAGGTTCAGGTTCTAAGTTTTGATTATTCTCATTCACACCTTCAGGCGTGATTTTAGAATACTCAAGTACACATTCACACAAGACAATATTTGTTTCCACTTCTGTCACACTTCTGACTAACCAATTAAGAGACTAAGGGCGCGTTCACTTAAGCAATTTCTGGTGAGAGTTCACATTCTGCAAAATTTAAAATGTCTATTTGGTGGGGCATGTTACATTTTTGCATTAAAAAATTCACAGAATGTGATTTCTGGTCAGAAATTCCTTAAGTGAACGCGGCCTAAGTAACACTACCCCAAATTACAAATTTACCATGGAGTTTAGAAAAGTATTTTTTTTCAAAAAAAATGCCAACTTTTCTAAACTCTCAAGATTGAAAAATGGTGATATAAAACTATTCTCTCTACAATTCATGCATGAAATCACCCCTCGTGACACTTTTAATTACCAGAGGTGTGCAAAGTATGTTGCTGAATTGTACTCATAGCTCTCAGTTAATTTATCTCAAACTTTGGAGTTGGCATTTGATTAATACCTATAAATAGTTGAAGCTCAGAATAGGTCACATGATCCAGATAGGATTGAAAATTTATTGAACACCTTCAAATTCTATCAGAAGCCTTGGTCTTCTAGGACTAATATACAACCCCAATGATGTAAAATACACACTCTAATTGTCATGAAGCAGGCTCAAACAAATCAAAAGAAATAGCCAATTTTTTTTATTTACCTTTGGATGATCACCATGCCTATAGTAGGTACATCCACATTTTTATTCATCTCCCCAGCTTTATACATAACCTGTGTTCATTGTGCTATGACATCATTCAACTTGATCACTTTGTCCTTAGTAGGACCCCATAATCTTAGTGCACACTGTGCATCAACATGATCAGCGGATTTGAACGGATTGTAAAGGGTGCTTGGTAGAGAAGGGAAACATTGTAGATATAACCATGTATCAACAATATGGTGAGATGGTGCCGGAGATTGACGGTGAGAGAAAATGGAAAAAACACGACCAAAGCCTTCTTCACCCTCAGACGACTTGAAATACACGCAGGAGTTCGCTGGATTGTGGTTGAACGTTGAGACAAATCCATCGGTGTGATGGACATACTTGAAGAACTCTCCTCGAGCGGGTACAGGGCAATGTCCTAACACTGGGCAGATGTAGTATTTTTCCCAAGTGAAAAATGATTGACCTGAAGGACAAACAAAATTGAAAAAGGTAGAATTCTGAATTCATTTTGTGTGTGCATTAACACTGCATTTTACTGCATTGATGCTGCATTTTTCCACATGAATGGTGCATTAATAGTGCATTTTTATGCATTAACACAGCATTTTTAATCATTTTGACATTAATTTTAATCATTTTGCATGGTGGAAAAATACTACATCTGCACAGTGTAATGCATCACTATCTGAAAGTGAGGTCCATTCTTCAGGGGAAAGCCAAGTACAGTCCTCGCTGTCTTCATTATTCAAGTATTGGATCAGTAGGTTGAGGATTTTGGAAGGAAGTGGAGCCTGCTTGGAATTTGATGATGGCTCTGGCTCAGCTATCTTTGACTCGTACAGCTCTCGAAGTTGTGGAAGATATGGAGCTAGTGCATCTGGGAGACTTTCATCTTTCAATAGAGCGGAAAGGTTCGAAGCACGACAAAGGTTTTTGATAAAGGTAATCTCAAGCTTCCCTTAATATCATCAATGGTAATTTATCAATCAGTGCGGGTTTTACACAAGTAAAGGATGCTTTGAATCAAGCTATTTACTCACCAACTTGATTGTTATGATACCCTTTGAGGATACGACCCATCAAACGCTCGTACGGAAAACTCCACCATGCATGGACTGGTCCGAAACGCTCAAGACACTCAGCAAGGTGTACAGCCATATGATGATTTGGAGCAAGTTTACAATGCTGAAAAAGTAGAACTGAGCTTTCAAGATACTTTTGAATGTGAAAGCGATATCCTTTGATCCGATCCTGAGTCATGACACGCTTTAGCCCTAGATTGACAAGTGAAACTAAGTGAAGGAAATTCTGGAGAAGCGAAGTCTTTACATGATCATGACCAGACCAAATCGGTATCAGTATTAAAGGAAGCTGTAAAGTAATCAGGCTTTGCCATTCATCCGCTTTCAATTTTCCAAATGAAGCCTTTCCTAGAACGGGGATTGGCAGCTTGATTGAGGTTGGTGTATGCAGCCTCGGCAGGAATGAATTGATTATTTGAAGTAAATTGGTATCGAGAATGACCTCTTCAAGCGGTGGAGCATGCCACTCCCCCTTCCAACCAGCGTCATCAAATGGATTGAAGTCCTGATCGCTTGAAGAGCTATCATTTGGAAGCTCTAAATCATTTATGTTATCGCCTGATTTGTTGGAATCCTTTTCAGAGTCATTTGTACGTGGTCGATGTCTTACTGGTTGTGAGTGTTCAGCTACTAGCTTCAACAGCTCACTAGTGCTTATTGTTGGCGCCTTCTCCTCCTCATTTTTGAGATCCTTCATTGCCCAGAAACGGCAAATGTGCCAAGCTGATAGACCGAGGAGTAAATTGTGCATTGAGTCCACAACATGATACTCAATAATATTCCAGTAATCTAATTCTACGAGTACTGAATAGCGTACTCCGTGTGTCTTGAAGATGTTCTTTTGCTCCTCGACTGTTTTTGCATCACGAGCTTCACAAGCCCATTTTCAATGCTGACAACATGTACGAGGCGGCCATGTCGTTTGGTCCAAGTTGTTGAGTTCAGGTTTGGTGAGAAGACAAAAGGAGCAAAAATATGTGGCAGTTGCGCTAGGAAAACCAAGACAGCGTCGCAATGATGGAATATCAGCGACAAAAAGCAACAAAGCTGCTTTGATCATACAGCCGTCATCATAGTCGTGGGTCCGAGATAGAAGGAGTCCAGATGACCATAGAGTTTGAAACTTGGTGACGACTGGCTGTAATATCCAATTCATTTGCTCAAGTGACGGTCCGTGAGGGCCGGGAACTATCCCTACAACAAACATGTTCTCGGGTTGATGTCGAATGCTTAATGGAAGAGTGAGACAGACTAAGATTACAAAGGTGATCGAGGTATGATGACCACTTTGTTTGTTTCCAAACGGATTGATTGCGTCAACAATTAAGGCAAATGTCAAATTACCACTTGTAGCTGTGAATTGCTCTCCACCTGGGTCGCAGAATTCTTTCCATAATCGTGATTGATGTATGTTGTGGATTTCGACATTAGGATCATAGGGTTTTGATGATTCTGATAAAGATTCGTCAAGCATCTTTTTGATTTGAGGGCGAGATAGAAAGCGAGCAAGCCACGCTGTAAGGCTTTGGAAGGCATAATTTCGTATAGCAACCTCCTTCCCGCGGACATATTTCAAAAGAGGTTCCCCACACAACTGTTCAGAAAAATCAGGTTTGTAGTCTTGTACTGGTTCGCCAGATTCGGGAGGGCCTCCAGGAATACTGGCAATCCGATGTTGGCAATGGGATGGTGCAAGGGACTCGGGATACATTGCAAAACAAGCATGACAACAATTCATATAAGTGAGTATGGGATTGATATCCAACCATCCAAAGGCTGTTATAGCTGTCTTGGGGATTTTTTTGAGAGTTTTTATTTTGGCAGGAAGAAGCTGGCGGATTGGAGACTGCACGGGTAGTATTCCATGGGTTGTTGATAGCTCGATTGTGATCTTTTGCATTTCCATAATCCACAAGGCGCTTGAGTTAGCTGAATTTGAGAAGATGTCGAGTATAGCAGAGCTGAGAGCAACATGAAGGATCAATGGGTTTGTCCTTCTCAAGTCACATGTATAGAAATGAACTATGAAAGGAGAGGAACAATAAGTTAGATTGAAACTGTGCAATTATGTCTGTTTGAAGATGACATCAAAGACCTGCATACCACAATCATAGGCTTGATGACCAGATGCTTTTGCAAGAACAGCTTTTGTACAAGTTTGCGTAGAAGACCGCCGAGCTCAAGGAGAGAATGAGTTTGCAGTGCTATCTAGAACCTCTCCGGCAACGGAGGTGTGCTCATCCTCGGTCTGATGGTGTTGGCTTGTGATAGGTGATGGTTCAATTCCTAATTGTTGCATAGGTGAAACGAGCAAATCTTGAACTGAGGAAGTGGATACGTTGGTGGATTCAAGTGAGTTGACTTCCCGAAGCTCATTTCGATAGTCGGCACGTTTGTGAGCAGCACGTGTCTCAGGGAGAACCTCAACACCAGGGTGATTGACGCCGTTGGCATCAGGGTATATCTGGTCGGCGCAATTGAAAGATTTACACAGGCAAACAACACGGTGCGGTTTGGTGATCTTCTTATGACGGGGAGGCATTGCTTTGCTGAAAAAGCAAAGATGGTCACAATAAAAGTTGAAATAATATACTGAATCAGATGAGAGAGATACACTTGTTTTTTTTGAATATTTTTGTAAGTATATATGATCTGAGATTTTGGTTTCTAAAGACGAAGAAAGATTGATCTGAAACCCAGTCAAGGAACTCTACAATTACAAGAACGGGATCAAATGGGAAGTTACAAGACTAATGGCACATTGATACAACACGTCCAAATAGGTCCAGATGGAATACAACGCGCCTCAGGATCAGCTCATGAATGAAAAAATTCCAAAACAAGATCATTCGGAAGAGTTTTTTGGGGATAGCTCCTCAGAAACTGTAATTCAACATGGAAAGTCTGTCATTTGACTTTCTTCTTGCCTAGAATCATAAAACATGTGCATGTCAGCAAAATTACTTCAATCTCAAATCTATTTTTGCTTTTGATAATGAAACAAAATATACAGACCTTCTTGATCCATGGGCGTTTCGATATCTGAAGTCTTTAATATGGTGTAATGAAACCCATGAATAAGCGGAGATCTTGGAGTTTCTTCAAGAACAAATTGGATGTACAAATCTATGAGACATTCCTTGTTCATAGCCAATGATCGAACAAATACAGAAGGACTATAATAACGTAAAGCTAGTAGAGTTTCTTCCATGCTTTCCCCCTTGAGGCGAGGAGCTGCAACTGTGCGGGGCTTCTCGATAAATCGGCGATTAGGAGGAATGACAAGGCCTGGAGATACATAATGCTTGTACAATATCAAGATGTCATCAATGGTGGCGCCAGGTGGGATTGTGGTTGTAGGTCTCTTTTGGAGGATAGCTTTTACAAGCATTGGTTTGGTAGTCTTGCGGCCAAGCGGATCAAAATCTTCCTGACCAGCATCCGTATCCATCTTGACGGCTGGTGCTGGTAAGAGATATGGCACAAGGAGAGGTCTGACATCCGTTAAAAAAGCATTTTTGAGTGACTCTTTGAGATTGGTTGGGCGACTAGTCGTAGCTGGGTTGAAGGTAAATATTATGTTATAATATTGGAGCTTCTTAGGCTTTTTGCTAACGGATTCAAAGTCTTAAGTCAGGAAGATGCGGTCGTCTTTCGATAGAGCTTCCACTTTAGCCCGCACTCCATGGTCAGATGAGCCTCTCCTAGTGCGAGTCCCGGCTGGAGGTGCTTGGAACGAGGTTGGTTGAGTAGATGTTGGAGGATTCACACCACGTGGGAAACCACCATTCTCAGGGCCAAGAGGCGATCCACTGGAGGTGGCAGTTCGTTTCTTCATTTCCGCCTAGGAGTAGGAGCAAAAAGAACCGTGTGGCTTTGAAAAGAATGTCAAGTATTGATCAGACAGTCAGCAACTTGTTCAAAAGTGAAAATTAAGCGTGTTTCTTACATGCGTTGATGTGGAAATAAATCTAATGAAATGAAAGCCAAACGCAAGGGTGGTTTAAACTTGAAAAAAAAGATAATTGAAAAGATGGACCACAAGACAAGCGTTTTTCAAGACCAAAATCAAGAGACTTGAAATAGAAGGTTTTCTAAAATTGAAAAAAGAGAATTCAAAAAATAAACCAAAAGACAAGAATGTTTTAAAACTGAAATAAAGAGACTTGAAATGGATGAATTGTGATGTGATTCTTATTGATGGTTATCAAGAAAGAACCTCAACACAATAACACATATGATTTTAGCGTTAAAATAGATCTTCAACATTTGAAAGTCAACGTTTGAAAGTGGGAACAAACTTCATTGGTTCATGTTTATATGTATCAGGATTTGACTTTGTTTGTTTGAAGACATGCACAGAGAGTTTCTTCAACTATCATCTCCTTTGTGGTCTTTTCGCATGTGTTACCCTCATCATTGGCTTCTGAGTTGAGAAGGAAACGTGGACAAAGAATAAACTCATTTACATAATTGTTTCATAGCATCCATTATGACAGTGATGGATCAAAAGCTGATGATCTTAAAACGCCATGTTGTGTTAGATCAAAGATATACTCCGGTGATCTTCCATGTAAGCAACCAATTAATTAATATCATCAATATATGTGATATAGAAACAGGTATAAACCCTTTTTCTGTTGTGAAGGGTTTGTCAAAGAAAGTGCAAGAGATTGCAAGTCATGATATATGGTTGTGCTCTACGAATCATGTACAACTGTAGGAACTCAACTCAAGAATTTGTGCACATTCAACGAGGTTTGGCATTGTACTGTCTGCTTAACTACAATCATTTCCCCTCTTCATAGCATCTACTTTGATGCTGGTTTTTATCAGCCTTCCTCGCCATAATATTCCTGTCTTGATCTCTCTGTGTAATTTCACTTTAACAAATCTCGCCGTGCTTTTTTGGTTCCAGTTTTCATCAGTTCAGTATCATCATGACAATTCACGTTATGGATCCCAATGCTCCAGGAGTTGGAAGACAGACGATGTTAGATTGGATGCATATCAATCATGCAATGACTCCAATCAATTCAAAAATTTCACGTTCTGAGCTAGCAAAAAAAGTGCGGGAAGCGCAGCCAAAGTGTAGGTTTTTATACAGCCAATTCAATACTGTGTTTTTCGCAATCTTGTTAGACCAGGACTTTGACCGCTGACCAATTTTTTTCTCTTTCCACATCCTTGTCTAGACTTCCCTAACCCACTGTCTGAAGCTTGTGCGCTTACTCTGGATGAGACCAGAGGTGAAACAACTAGAGATTCCAGTTCCACCCTTGCAAATGTCCAATCTCGGAATCCTCCAAACACTACCCATCCAACACTTCTGATCTTACAGACTGAACACAATGGAATCACAGCATCTCATGAATTTATTCCTTTGGTGGCCAACGACGCAAAGCTGCCTGAAGGACCTGGACGTTCACAAAAATGATCAGCTGTAGGTAAGGGAACAGTATGATTCCACTTCATTGAATCAAAATGGTTTCAGCTATAGGTTATTGATTATGTCTGCATTTAGGTTCTGTGTTACCGATCCTCAAGACACATTCAAAAACAACCAAACGAGTCAAGGTGAGGCCAGCACAACATCTAGAGAATGACATTTTGGATCTCTATTCATCTGCCTCTTTTGAACTAAATTAGGTCATACACCCTCATCCGTTTATGAAGGATGGACCCGTTGGGCATACTTCAATGACTGCTCAAGATACCAAAGACAAGGATACAAAACCGCAAATTCCCAAGACCATCAGAGCTGCCAACGAGTCTGATTCAGCAGTGTTGAAAGTGAAAACTTTAAAAAAAAGAATAGCAAGCGGGTCACAGTGCGCTCAACCTCTTTAATAAGAATTCATGTTCAGTTTCATTTGCACTTGCTAATCTTTGACTGTATTTTAGTTCACCAAAAGCCCTGAGTCCAGCAAGAATCCGCGAAATTCGCCAGCAGATGGTAGTTTTGCTGCTCTATTGCCAAGCTCGACCGCTGTGGGGACCTCAAACATCAATGGGCACAAGTCAGTCAATAACAAGCCCCCCATTGTCAATCACGAGGCCACACACTTGATCAACTTTTCCAATACTGACTTGATGGATTCAGGAAACTTGGGTATAGATCTTTGAAATCTTTGTCCACTATCAGTCCAGAAAAACTGATATATAATCCATCACCTCTCAGTCATTGGAAACAACATCCCCGCAGTCAATTTTAACCTCCCCTCCAAAATCAAGTCAGGTGTTGATGTATTTCAAGGGGAACGGACCCAAGCTGACCAGGGTGAGATCCACACTTTCTGTTTCAATGTTGCAAGGAAATTTTGCCTCAAAAGTCTCTTCAATTTTGATCATACAGTCAGAACGCTTTCAGAGGCAGTTGCTTCTGTGACAGCAAGACTTCGATTGGTAGAGCAGAAACATGAACAAAAACCATTTGAACTGTGCCCTCATGAAAGCTCAAGTAAGACACTTTCTCCCTGTATTGACG